TTTTAGTATATAGCCTAATGGTTGTTACTTTGAAACATTGTTGAATGTGTTTTATAAGTGTTTTAAAGTAGTGTAATCCGGTCTAAAGACAGAGGAACCTAATGCAGTATGTGTGTATTAAACTATCATTTGAAATATCTCTAAGGAGAGCACTTGTTGAATTTAGTTATACCTTAATTTGTCAAATAATTAACTGTACTGCACGGATTAAGCTGGATTTGCATGTAGAGCCACTGGAATGTCACTCAAAATGACATCAAAGAATCTCCATGGAGACGGCGTCATAGAGATTCAAAAGAAACAATTCTAAACAATCAAAAACAGCCGCAGCAGATGAGAGTTTGATTAGAGCTCTTCACGAGCTACTACATTTATTACATTATTTTACCTTTGTATGTCAATAATATAGTTTTGTGCAGATATTGTAAGTCAGCATCGTAATTTTGTCGTTTTAAGTTACTTTTTATCGTTTCACATCTAAAAATCATCAACGCACTGAACACAATCTAAGAGATAATATTACATCAAGTTTTAAAAGAGCATTTCTTTCAAACTCACCTGGAGATCGAAAAGTCTATTAAATTCACGCACTTTTTAATATCTCGCACTTACGGTAAGTTGCTATTTCGTTTCCTTCGTTTGCTGTTTATATTTATGCTTTTTGCTACAGAAAACATAGCTATCTCCCAACAGTTACCAGTTACGGAGCTGTATGATAATTTCATTAAAATTAAATTAAAATTAAATGAGACTAAATGCAAATTAAGTGTTTTGCAGCTGCCTACACTAGCAAAAAGTGTCATGGTAACGTGTTAGTACCTGTCATCACTTCCAGAAAACTACCATAGCCTACTACTTATCTGTAAGGGTAGTGAAGTTAAAGGCTACATTGCATCATAAAATGCTGATTGATATTAATGTGTTATTATTTTAACACTTTTTCAAGTTTTTATTATTATTAATTTACAAGTAGTTTTAGTAATTATGTAAAAAAAAAAATCTGTTTTTCCAACAGACATCATGTCACCTGTGGAAGTATGGGTGGGTCCATGGAGGCCCAACAGGCCAAGGGGCCCCATCGCTGCACTGTATAACAGTCCAGGGCCAACATATGCTCTGCCAGGGGCAACTGGTACACACACACACACACACACATTTGTGACCCTGGACCACAAAACCAGTCTTAAGTCGCTGGGGTATATTTGTAGCAAAAATATTGTATGGGTCAAAATTATTGATTTTTCTTTTATGCCAAAAATCATTAGGATATTAAGTAAAGATCATGTTCCATGAAGATATTTTGTAAATTTCCTACTGTAAATATATTAAAACTTAATTTTTGATTAGTAATATGCATTGCTAAGAACTTCATTTGGACAACTTTAAAGGCGATTTTCTCAATATTTAGATTTTTTTGCACCCTCAGATTCCAGATTTTCAAATAGTTGTATCTCGGCCAAAATATTATCCTATCATAAATTGACCCTTATGACTGGTTTTGTGGTCCAGGGTCACATTTGATTCACTATATTATTGAAGACATCTTATAGACTTCCAATGGTTTTTAATATCAGGTTAATGATATATAGCCTAACCTGACCGGATCCCTACCCATAAAGTTAACCCTCACAGAAATCTTTGCGAATCACCAGATTTAAAAATATCAACATTATTTTGTGAGTCTTTTTAACTAGTGAAACCATGTAAAATGTCCCCACTTGTTGTTTGTCATATATTTCACTATAAGTGCGGATATTTGGCCCTCACAAGTATAGCTAAACAGGTACACACACACAAACACACACACACACACACACACACACACACACACCCACACACACACAAATGGGCACATTGCATAGATTCTACTGTTTTTATATACAGCTATTTACAAATGCAATAACCTAATCCACACCCTGACCCTAAGAGAAAACGTTTTACATGTTTCACAGTTTCTAAAACATTTTTTGTCTTACTTTTTTATACTGTTACAAATGATGAAGTCCCCAAAAAGGTTAGCTCACTTCTGGACACAAAATGTCCCCAATATATTTAGTAGGTTCATGCATACAAAATTTACAATAAATACATCCAGTGTCAGGATCACCAGTCACCTTGCCTATCACCTCTGCACACTACATCTCCCACAATCCTCCTTGGCTATCACCTGCACACACTTCACAATCACCAGATCTGTCTGCCATCATCCTCATCAACTCTCTATAAAAGCCAGCACCACACACAGGCCTTGTCTGATCTCATGACTAGGACTGCTAGTCATTATTACCTGTGTGATATATTCTCCTTCCTTCCTGGATTCCCTTGTGCACTCTGGAAAGACCTGTAAGAAGAAAGACAAAGTTTCAATTCGGAGGACCTGTAACCATTTCTAAATGTTATTTTTAAGTGATAAACCATTGCCCTGCTGTGATTTTGAGGCATTTCTGTGCACTACACAGGAATGAACAACCATGACCCGCGGATGCAGAAAGGCCCAGCGTTTAGCTTCGGCACACGTCATCATGGCTTACAGGCCAACTCTTCCCCAGGTCCTGGTTACCTTGTTCCCTCCAACATCACCAGGGTGGGTCGGGATGGAACCCCTGCGTACTCTGTCTATGGCCGACCCAAGGATATTCAGCCCTTCCAGACTCCTGGCCCAGGTCTTTTACACAACAAAAACACAAGCTTTGTAGCTGTGCTGAAATGTAGTACTTGGCAGAACAGAGTAAAGTTAAGCTGGCTTTTGGTTATTCTTTCAGGAAGTTACTCCCCTGAAAATGCAGCAAAGACCACCTATTACTTGGCCCCTGCGTTCTCTCTGTCTGCAAGGACTAAACTGTTCCGTAATGATCAAACACCAGGTAGATTCCCACAGATCTACACAGCAACACTACTGGAACAGGTCCATTTCCTGTGACTTTCATGCATTATCTTGTCTCCAGGTCCAGCTGCGTACATGCTTCCCCCAGTATTGGGGCCAAGAGTTGTGAATAAAGCATCTGCCCCAAACGTCTCCTTCGGTGGTCGTAGTGCTATCGGCAGCTTCCATGAAGATCTACGGAAGGTGTGGACGCCTCATTTTACAGTATTTACCTCTTTGTATGTACTTTGCAAAGATGTTTGTTTTCTCAGACTCCAGGCCCAGGGACCTACCAAGTGGTGGATTCATGCGTGTACAAACACAAGGCCCCTCTGTACAGCATCACCGGACGCAACTTCACGCCTGGAGACATTACAAAGAAACCCGGACCTGGATCCCACCATCCAGAAAGGGTCTGTACCTTTACATTTAGTATCCAAAGCGACTTACAATAGAAGCAATTAAACAAACAAAGGAGCAATAGGATGTAAGTGCTGTAACAAGTTTAAGTTAATGGTTATTCGGCAAGAATGCATTAAATTGATCAAAAGTGAGAAGTGGAGACATTAATGGTGTTACAAATGACATCTATTTCCAATAAAAGTTTAACATTGATAATAAGAAATGTTTCTTGAGCACCAAATCGGCATATTAGAATGATTTCTGAAGGATCACGTGACGCTGAAGACTGGAGTAATGATGCTGAAAATTTAGCTTTGCATCACAGGAATATGTAACATTTTAAAATATATTACTATAACTTTTATTTATTTATTTTTTTAAGTTGTATTTTTGGTCAAATGCAGCTTTGGGGAGCATAGGAGACTACAAAAACATAATAATAAAAAAAAAACCACTTCCCAACACCAAACTTGGGAACTGTAGTTTTTAGCTTTGCAATGCTGTCTACTGAAACTACTGTTAAAATAACGAGAACTAGTATACTAAAATGATTCCGATTGTTTCTCTCCACAGGTTACTTTCACAGGAACCAAAGCTCCCAGCTATTCCTTTGGAATTCGTCACTCGGAGTACATCGCTCCCATAATTGTGGATGGGGCTGATTAAACGGGTCAATGCTGTCCTAGTGAATTCTGTTAAACAAGCTACAGTCTCCCATATCAGGTCTTAATATTGCTAAAACATAACTTGAATTTAATAGTGTTTCAGTAAAAAAGGCTCCAAGATGCATATTTGTGCTGTTGCCACAATATGAGAAATAAGCTCCATTCCAAAACCAAGATAACCAAGTCTACCTAGACTAGCGTTTTAACAGACACAATCTACTAGTGCTGGGTCTGACTCCACCTTATCGAGTCGGAGTTTATTCCAAATCCTTAACCAAGTTCGAGTCCATGTTCGGCCATAATTGCAGTTGGAGTCCAAATACCCCAACTCTACAATCCATACACGGAGGTTATTCCCAAAAAATAAAATAGAATTGGCAGCCATTAAAAACTAGTTATACAATATATAAATTCTCTTACGTTTACCAAGGCTGCATCCATTTGATCAAAAATACGGTAAAAACAGTAATGTTGTGAAAATATTATTACAATAAGTGTTCTGTTTTAATATATTTTAAAATGTGATTTATTTCTGTGATGGCAAAGCTGAATTTTTGCATGTCTGGTCACTAAGTTTTGGAATGGCATAGAATTGACAAACAGCACTGATGATTACTGTGTAAATCAAGAAAGAAAGTAAATCTTTGAATCAAAATACTTTATTGTTGTCATTTTATTATTGTTACTTTGCACTTCAGTCATACAACAGCATCTGAAAATTTAAGCTTGGCTCAAACCAAAGCAGACAATTCAGGAACAATATTTACATTGATAGTGCAGTAGTTCATTATTACGTTCTATTTTTAGTCTTTCTATAGAAGTGTTTTTCTGGTTCATGCCATAATACATTTATTGAGTCTTTCTTAATAAAATACACTTTCTCTGGAAAAACTTATACTTATCTTACTTCAAACAATATAGTTTGTCAGGTAAATCTTTTAAGCATTCTTTACTCAAACACAACAATGATTCTGGTTTATTTTTTGTGGCGTAAGTGGATTGAACATTTGTAGTCAAGCAGTAACTTTTTACTGCAGTACTGTACTTGCTACTGTCTCCTTAGGATGATTTTATATTGCTGTATTATTGATATCATAGTTAACCTATCAGTTTAACTTCACCAGCTTAAAAGTGGTATTGGCTCTAAATGTGTGTTTCCACAGTTGTCTTTATCGGTATGATCCTCATTGGATGTTGCATACAGTGACTATAAAAGTAAGGGAACACTCTCTCAGTGAACGTGTGTTTAAACACATGCAGGCCGATATTACGAGCTGAGTCAGTGAATGTGACTTTGCCCTTGTCCCAGTCCAGCTGCACCCTGATCCTCTGAATTCTCTGGGTGACCCGTAGAAGGGTGAGGATCTCTGGAGAATAGCCTTTCCCATATTTACCGTTGCAGAAGCCCACATACCACAAGCCCGTTTTGGAGGGGGTCTGTCTGTGTTTGTACGCGGACTCTGTGATCACTCCCACGGCCCAGGCTGTGCTGTCGCCCACCTCGATGTCCCAGCAGTGAGTCCCCGAGTTAAAGCCCTCAGAACCTAGAATGCTTGTGTAGCCGTCGAATCTCTCTGGGTTTGCTGGAAGCTGTTGGAAGTGCTCGTCAGTGTAAGTTATACTGGTCAGATCATCCGACACGTTCAGATAAGGATGGGCGGTGTTGGAGTCAAAGGTTACTGGGGCTGGAGAGAAAGAGATTACTTTTAAGACACACACACACACAATGCATTTTGCTTTGTAAAATGCGAGAAGCTGGCAGTGGAGTGGGGGAAAAAACGCAAAGTCTCGACAAACTTTTTTTTTTTTTTTTTGAATTTTAACCATTTTTAGAACTATGGAAGCCCATTTCCACCATGGAATAAAAAAATAAGGTAATTGCGACTTTTTATTTGTGACTATTCTGACCTCCTTTCTCTCTTTCTTTTTCTCTTTGCGATAAACTCAGAATAAACTCCCAATTCTAAGTAAAGTCAAATCTTGTAATTCTGACTTTTTCTTCTCAGACTTGCAAGATTATAAGTTTATATCCTGACTTTTTTTCCCCTCAGAATTCTGAGTTTACATCTCACAATTCTGACTATTTTCCTCTGAATTCTAAATGTACGTCTCAGTTCTGGCCATCAATAAAAAAATTTAAAAAGGTAATTTTGCCCTTTTCACATTTTTGACTTTTTTTTCTTGCAATTGAGTCTTCGCCAGAGTTTGACAGGTGATCTGACCAATCATAACGCCAAATCTGCCATTTTGTCCAACAAACAAAGCCAGACAGTAGATACATGTCAGTGGACTTGAACTTGAAAAATGGTGTGCATTGATGCCATGGTTGAAACAAAATCCCTTCAGATGTTCGTTCATGTTTATTTCGTGCTATAACTAGTAAAGAGGAAGATCGGTTCACGTGCCGCTTCAACTGAGGTGCTACTGCGATCTGTCACAACACATTAAAGAGCCACAAAATGCTATTGTTTGAATTTCTTAAAAAAAATGTACAATTTGAAAGCAGAAATTTTTCACACCAAAAGTAACCTGCTGTGTCTTGTCTGTCAGTTCTTTGCTCCACGATATATTTTTCACTGCGTGAGAACATCATGTGTGGTGTGAGAGTGCCATGGCTTGTCGGACTTAACAACAGTAACTAAGGGGCAAGTTTATGTCTTACAATACTGACTTTTTTTCTCAGAATTCAGAGTTTATATCTCGCATTCTGATTCCACGTCTGCAGTTTTTCAAAGCAAAAACACATTCTGCATCTCTGTGTGAATGGCTAATAGCACAGATGATTATTTGATCTGCACAGTACTCACTGTATCGGACGTTGGCTTGTAGTTTCTTGGATACGTCAAAGGTTACGTTACCCACATGTTTTGCTACATTGATGAGCATTCCTGAAGGTCTGGTCTGATCCCGCAGTGTACACTTTGTTCTGAAACAACATTTAATAGTCAATACTGATATGGGTTTGGTTTCACCAGAAGTTTGAGGGGGAAAAAAATCTTACCTTTCAGTTGTAGCCTTGACGTTCTAGAAATAATGTAGATAAAAACAAAGATTAATCTATATTATGTGATCAGAAAATCTACTAAAACTGCATTTATTTGACCAAAAATACAATAAAACAGTAATATTATGAAATACTATTACAATTCAAAATAACTGTTTTCTATTTGAATACATTTTCAAAGGTAATCGTGCACGTGATGCTTTAGAAATCATTTTAATATGCTGATTTGCTGCTCAAGAAACAATACTTATCATCAATGTTGAAAAAGCCAAGTGCTTCTTACCACAAGAAATGTGAAGTCATTCCTTCTCAGTTGATCTTCGATAGACTCAATAATGTGTGAGAGAGATAACATCCCTGATCTAATCTCCTCAATCTTCTTCTTAATTATCTCACTCTTCTGCTCCTCTTCTTTCTTCAGCGCAGTCGTCCTGGCTGCCTCTTCAGTTTCTAGAAACTGGTGAAGCTTGTCAAACGCCTCTTTAATTTGGGTCTCGGTGTGTTGGCTCTGCTTCTAAGCACAAAATATCAGCAAATTCAGGCTGCAATATCCATACGATAGTTAAACTGTTTTAATGTTGAAATATCCTCCCGGTACTCACTTTAATATACTCTGCTGTTTCATCCCAGGACTGTTTAATTCGTTCGTAGACTCTGAGTTTCTCCAGAAAGGCCTTTAGTTTCAGCTGGAGCTCTTGCTAACAAATGTTAGAAAGAGATGTGAGACAAATAAAGTTGGGGCAAGTTGTCACTTTTTTATTTTTATTTTAAAAAATTTTTTAAACTAAAATCTAGGTTAAACTAGGCTGTTTCAGGGTAGGGATATTTGTAATATTGGACATATAGAATATTTGTTATTTTTTATTATTTATATACTATTATCATATATAAATACTATTACCACTATTACCATTACTATTTTTTATTAACTTTTATGTTCAGTTTTAATAAAAAAAAATTGTGCTTTTGTAATTTTTATTAGTATTTTAAAAAATATTTCTATATAACACACACACACATATATGTAATTTGTTTTATTTTTGTGCTCACTTCAGCCTATGATGCTCAGATGTTTTAGCATGATGATTGTTGATGATGAGTTGTTTGTTACAAACCATATCCAAAAAGGATCAGCAGTGTCCAGCTTATATTTGACTTATCAGCGTAGTTCCCACGAAACTTTGTTTTTGTGAGTTTGAGATGTGTGTCATATAAGGGCCATTAGTGTGCTAAGACCTGTTTGACAAGACAGCTATCATATCTCACCCATTTCTAGTCCATTAAATCTGACACCAACAATCAGTGAAACCGCAAGCCGGTCATTTCAACCAAGCAATTGACTGTTAAAAACTGTGTTTCCATACCATCTGACACTCTGAGCTCTTACCCTGAGTTCCTGTGACGCGTCTGCTGTTGAACGGATGTGGTGGTTCTTATGCGATTTGGCATTTCTGCATTTCCCACAAACTAGTTCTTGATCTTCAGTGCAGAAGAAAGTAAGAGGTTCCCCATGAAG